GTACAAAGATTTGAAAAACTAGTATCTATCGTGACTCAATAGCTTAGTGGATAATGTGCTAGTGTTTGAAGAGATGAGCTTGGGTTCGAGTTTCACTGTGAGTATTAATATTGGCATCAGGTATATTAAGTCAACGTATCATAAACAGGATGAAACGAACATCCTGCATGACGTTGATATGCATTATCGAAAAATATAATAAACTTATGAATTTGTGCAACATAGAGGCATACATCCATTCAGCAGAGACCAATGAACTTCAGTTATAACCAACAACAACAGGAAATACCAAGCCCTATAAATAACGGTGAATGATACTAGCCTTACCTCTCAAATTGTAATATATATAATCCTCATAATTAACTCATACTTATTAGTCATTCTTCTTCTATAGCTGTTCACATTGTGGATGCCGCTTTTACATGGACGATATAAACAGGTAACTGATACTATTATTATTCTTTTTTAATGATGTTGTGATCTAGAAATCCTACTCAGTATTAATTTTTACTACCTACTTATTTTAACAGCTACATTCAGTTATATAATAAAGTGCTTAATCTATCATTTTATAGCGTTTAAATATTTTAATGTTTCAAATATAAAGAAACCAATAGGAAAATCTTTTATAATTACAAACATATTACTGATGAATTTAATAGTAGATTTCTCAGTTCGTATAACAAAAATATCCTAAATTGATAAGTTTTTCTTGAAACTATAAAGGATAGTTGTTATAATGAAATTTCTAACAGATACTTTTAGCGTGTTGTTGTTGTTTTGTTGGTTTTTTTTCAAAATAAAGGTAACTTTACCTAGAAACTGTTAATATAAATTTTTGCTAACATTTGAAAGAAAAAATGGTTTTATTATTCGAAATTTATACAGTTCTCTACATGTGGAGAAATTCAAACGCTTCACTTCTACCTGAAGTTTGTGCTGATGATGTCGTTCAGAAGAACGACGAGATCTCCATAGTCAAACTATCCAGCTCAGAGAATAAAACTACATAAAAATCGCCCGCTTGAGCTAAAAATCTTCTCCCCCGTAGTAGAAGGGTGTTTAATGACAGCCTAAATAATATCATCCATAATTACAATTCTTTTTTATTAAGAAAATATAAAAAACACAAGTATTTAAAATTAAAGTATCTAATAGTGTTTATAACACAACTGGATATTGACTGCATTTATAATGCAATAGATTTATAAACTCAACTTTAAATGAACACAATTTGAATAATATCTGTCGATCGATTGGTTAATGGTTAAAACACTTAATTTCGAAAATTTCAATCTCACATTCGAATGTTACGCCTAATTACTTCAGTTTTGACAACCAGATAGTATCATTAGTTCTCAAAAAGGAGATACTTTAGCTCAAAGTATGTATAAATTATTTACTACCATTCATACTACTACTTAAGTACTAATCTTGATAATTTAACTTGACTATGCTGATATATTCAGGTCTTAAGTTGTTTATGGATGACTGATATATATATATCTTTTCTATGAAAAAATTGATCAATCTATAAAAAAATATTAGAACCACCATAAGTATACATTTTGTGTTTCGGTATTCTGTTAAGAATATAGAATAATAAACTAACCACAGCTATATGATATGATATTTTATTCATGTCCCATCTTATGTTACTATGAAAAAATAGGAATTTAGTTTTTCTGTTTTGACTGCACACTTGTAGTTGAGTGAACACCAAAAGATAGTTTTTAGTCATTTTGTTCTGCAAAAACATTTACTAATATTGAATTTATCAAGTGATCAGTGGAAATCCCTATTACAAACTCATATCAGCTGGAAAACTAGTAAAAATATTGTAGGACTACATTCCTGTTTTGTATTACTCTTGAGGATCTTAATAATATACACTCATGACCTTCACCTGGGATTAATCCCAAGACTTTCAGGTGAATATGAATCACAAAAATGAGTACAAATGAGTGTAGTTACTGGTGATGAGTTTTCTGATCTAATTGGTTCACTTTCTAAGCTTTTATCGTTTTAGGAAGAACGTTGTCCATCATATGGATACGTCTGAATTATGTTTGTTTTATAACTTCGAAATAATTTATAAAATATCATGCTATGTTATGAATCGTTATCATATGCATTTATTTTGTCTTTTTAGCTTCCAGGCAATATGCTTAAACGCTTACAAAAATGTGTCGAGTGGGAACCACCTGAACCATATAACCGATTGTTACTCTTGCTATCTTTACCTGATCCACTAACTAATAGTCGTTTGTCATCAGGTCCAACAGCAGGTCATTTTGAAAATTTACCACATACAGCAATCACTGGAACTGCCAATACAATCCCATCATCACATTATGAAAAACCTTTAATTCACTCGACTAGTTCATCATTGCCAGGATGGACTGAGAGCTCTTTATTAGCTTGCCAGGCTAATTCATTAATGGGTTGTAATTTAATTCCAAAATCTCTTAAAGAATGTTTAACTGAAGGCGTTAATTTAACCGGCAGTGCACAGTGCATTGGACATGCATTAGCACCGAGTGCACCATATGCTAATGACGGAACAGCTGATGGGGTTGGTTTGGAAGCTGGTGCAATGGGTGCTGATTTACTAACTAGTCGTCTAGTTGCATGGTTAAAAAAGCACATATTTGTACTAGGACGTAATGAAGATCAGCATTCTACAGCTACACATATTTTTGTCCATTAAACAAATATGTTTTAGAGACAGCTTATTGAAATACTTTATCATGTAAATTGTGATATGTATTTTATGTTAAATGATTCATTGACCTCATTTGTTTATGTGTATATCTCTATTGCGCATAATATCAAAATCAGCCAATATTCACAGACAATAATCGCATTTATCATTAATTTCCCCTCCCGTAAGCCAACCAGTGTTAGCACACAGGTAAACAGCAGATCAGAGATGGCATTTTTCGATCTCAATAAAAACTTAAATTGCCATGTTCAAACTGAGAATATATGCTTCTTACCATATTTAAAAATGGTTTCCTCTGAATGACAGATGTTAACTGTCGACCAGTGTCGATCACTGTAATTAAATTACTCACCAAGGCAACCGATAGTCGAAGGCAAACATTCTTACCTCTTTTACTTCAACTATTTGCGTTATACCTGTTAGTTCATGTCGTGATGGAGGCACTTTTTATCCAAACAATCAATCGACTATTCGATTCCCATAATAATAATGCCTGGGACAGGGTTAACCACTGCGCGAAAGTAGGAAACACGACAGTATCGCAAGGAGAAGGATATCCTTAAACAACTTTAAACTGGCAATAACTTCTAAAGCATCCATACTAAATCTTCGGGGCACAAATCGCAGATCATAGTGGCTCCTGTGCTTATCGTTCGTCATAGTGAAATAGGTCGAAATAGTACTGGCAGACCACACATTAACCAGTGTCTCTTGAAAAAACCAGCTACCTTCAAGTGTGCTGTTCTTCAGTAAATGATCGATTTGTGAGCATTCGGTAAAACACTCGAGACCAAGGAAGAACTCAGTTCGATAGTTGACCTGTCAAAGCGTACACGTTCGCCCAGAAGCAACCGCACATTCAAATATCAGATAAATTCGGACTGATCAAAAAAACACTAATCGTCTCTTTAACCGTTGATGTTACAGTTAGTTGATGACACAAAGATACTTACATATCGTCCACGTACTGTGTACAAACAAAATAAAGCTTACAGTCGATTGCAACAATTATAGCAGATAAGTGAAGGGAATTTTCGGAAATTGTAGTATACTTATAGTTCAAATCACGAAAAGATCAGTTAGACTAACACTGAGAGCCCGAGAGCACTGGATGGTAGGATCTTCTTAGCATGGGACTCGTCAGTTATACGCACCGATGAACCCCCACGCGGAAATCGAACATGGGACCTTTGGTCTTGCGCGTGAACCCTTAGCCTCTAGACCATTGGGCCGGCACATAACGGTGTTGATGTTTAAATTCAATCAATCCATGATCGTGCCCAACTCCTGATTTATTATCTGCGGCAGTTGCCGACTTAGTAGTCTGGAGGTTAGGTGTTCGCACGCGAGACCGAATGTCCTCGGCTCAATTCCCGCGTGCGCAATGATGAGGATCCCCACACTAGAACGAGAACGCCGTACAGTGCTCCCAGATTTTCAACAGAAGTCCATTAGTCCGCGCTTGCAACGGTAAAAACCACGGTATACGTTTCCGATACTGTTACCTAGATTTATCACAGAAAAAGTACCACGATATCCGTGCTATGCATACCTGCTTCATAAATACACGATAAATTCACTTTTGATTCACTACATGAATGAATGTCTCTTACAAATATTAGGTCAACGTTGTAGTCCTTTGGAACCAGTCTACAGCAGGATCGCTTTTTGGGACGATATTTAGTAACAGTAGGCAGATCTGGATCTAACTCTGTTTATAATTTTTGTAAACTAAAGACAATATGGAGGCAGTACACACAAGATGCATACATGCTAAAAGAGACTGGTCTGCTCCAGTCCTAAACATCAGCAGAAAGACTCAAAACAACCAGTTCGAATAAATCCAACCTCACTTAATTGCACGGGCTAGTTAAATGTCTAGATTCAGTAGCTAAATGGATAACGTGGTGGAGTTCGAAGCAAACAGCACTGGGTTCGAATTCTAGAAGGTGGGAAACTCTGGAATGCATGTGAACTCAGCTTGCAGGTCTGAAATAAAACGAAACGCATAGCTTGAATTCCACTGCAAGCCATCATTTAAATCTGCCCACATCTAAGTTCTGTTTGTACGTGCTACCAGTAATCATTATTCCATAAATGTAACATTTGAGTCATAGATAAACTATTCGTTAGCAGATCCTATTTTTAGAAAACTCATTCATCAAGTACAGGTTTCCATTCTGAACTTTGAGCCAAACTTTAGGTATGAGACATATTGATGCCACCCAGAGTCGCAAGCAAAGTATACAATGCTGGAACAGAATCCGTGATCTGATTGAAAGTTGAATGCTATTAATCACCAAGCCATCTTTTTCGACAAAATAATGATAAAATGTGCACAAAAACAATGTGTTTGCATTTCATACAACAAACACTATTAACAAAGAATCTGATGAGTATATATACAAAGTGTGAATAAAATCATGATCCTAGGTAATCGAAAAATATAAAAAAGGAAATCTCGTGAATGATTACAAAAGCACAACGCCAGACAAATTTATGCAGGTTTGGAATCTCTGATACGAGAAGAACGGAACAGTGAACATCGTTTTCTTTCATTTGGTATGATGGGTGGAGGAATATCTGGTTTATCTGAGACATTTGGTTGCCGTTCATTTATATCACCAAATGGTTTTGTTGGAAGCATTTTGTTTTGATGATTTGTACTGGACATTTCGGAGGTAAAATTGACAGCTTTTGCTAAGACATTTGGTTGCTGTTCCCTAATATCACCGAGTGGTTCTACAGAGAACACTTTATTTTTACCGTGTGTGTCGCAAATCTTGAGGGCGAAATTGACAGCTTCTGCAACAGTAAGAGTGGAAACATCGACTACTGTTTCTCTTGAAATAGGTGAAGGTGTGTCTGAATGTTGAAAGTGTATAGTCGACAAGTTTTCGCCATCAAAATCAGATTCGGAATTAGAAATACTTTCATAATCAGTATACTGTTCTCCAAGCACTTGCTCAACTAAATCAAACGACACTCGACGAGTAGTAAGTACTGGGGAACATCTTGATGCATGGGAAATACGTTCCTGTTTCCGACTATTTATATGTTTTTTCCTCCATTCAATCTCAGCATCAGAATCATACTCTTCTCTAATTTCAATTTCTTTATCATCCTCAATACCTTCTACAACTTGATCACGAGTACAACTGGAGGAATCTTTCGGTATAGAAACTAGCTTTTGTGAGACCAATTGTTTTGTGTAATTGATTCTATCGTTTAACAGTGTTTTTTGTTGACATAATCCATCTAATTTTATCTGTAACCGTTTAATACGACGACTGAGCAACTGAACTGTTTCGTAGACAGATAATTCAGCAAAATAGTCATCAGTCCCACCAAGATACACTAATAGTTCATTTGTATGAATTAAACGTCCACGGACAAGCGCTTTGCGACTGAATGGAATATACGCATCTTTATATACAGACTTTTGCAACTCCTGAATTTTATTACTAACAGACTCATAATCTGATCTATATTTTTCCAGGATAATAATTTCCTGTTCAGTAGCTTCAATATCAGAAATTTGCTGAGTAAGTAACCGACTGAAATTTTCTTCATTTATTGCCATTGATGTTTCGTGCTGAAAAATGATATTTAGATCAATTGTGATTGCATGACCATCTTTTGAAGTTTAGTAAACGTGGGCTGAAATCGAAGATAAAAAGTTTTTACTAAAGCAATGATAAAACAGGAAATTATTTAGTTCATTGGAATAAAAGCACAGATCCCATATATAATATGATGAACATGCACCCTCCCGAAATCCCAAGGACTATATCTCATTTCTTAGAGCTATTTAAAACGCAGTCACCTTGATATTAAAGTGGGAATGATTTAAGTCGTCGAGGGAGTTATTACATATCACCCTTATTAGTAAACTTCAGGATCCTCAGATTTCTGAGGACTAAATAACCAAGTTAAAATTTGTGTCAAGCTTTTAAAGACATTCATTTGAGGGTAAGAAACAGTGTTCTGTCTTCTTAATTGGACTAGGTTAGCTAATACATAATAGAAAGATCAAAAGATTAGCTTGAAGACTGCCTAGTGACAGATCTATTCTAATACTTAAGGAATCAAATCGAAATATACGCAAATTTTTAATAGTTTCATCTAACTCCACCAACCTGTTGGAAAATGATATGAATTGTATGGGGATCAAATTAAGGTATTTTAAGTGGTCAAGATCCATTAACCATAAGTCACAACCCCCCCAGCTTCCTACTGATTGAATTTAGATATTTGTGTGATTGCCAGAAAACCTCAATATATCAGGACATCATCTCTTTTGACTCTACGTATATATAACAGTAAAAGCTGCCCTGCTCAACTTGGGTCAGTATGATTTGTTCGCTTCATATTACTACAGATAAACAATCATATGCAATGTATGACCTAGTATAACTACTGTGCAAAGGTCCATATTCCAGCACAAAAGATGAATGGATTAACAAGAAGTGATTTGGCTTTTAAGCTACTTGGGATTGTAAACAATAGATCGCAAGTTCGAATCCCTCCCAATTTACTTCAGTTCATATTTCCAAGAAGCCCCCAAATGCCCTGGTACGGCCGAGAGTGAGGAGAGTCCGCTCTCCCTCTCGAAATGCTCTCACATGGCCACACGTATATAGCCTCTGCCAGGGAAGTCCTACTCACTGCCTTCTCATGGCATTACTGTTGTTTACGAAATTGAAAGGACGAAAAGCGAACGTCCGGCGCTTTGACCGGGTTGGTGGACATGGAGAGTCCACCTAGGGGAGTTAGAAAAACCCGATTCCAAACCAATGGTGCACATGTGCTCCAGAATCCTGAGGGAACAAATGGCGTAGGAACCAATCGTTGGTCACCGGCTACCATGGGACTGCATCTCCTTACGATGCTTCACTGGCTTGTGGATCAGACTTTCAGGTCGAAGGCTTCGGGTGTGGCCCCCTAAGAAAACCACCTGCTTCGGTTTGGGCACCCGGGCAGTATCACAGCCCTCACACCAATGAAGTGACTTGTGTGGCGCATATGTATTTGGTGCCTCCTTGTACCAATATCTATGTGTTAAAACAAATAAATTTCCGAGAAGCATTACCATCCCTCATACCAAAAGTATAGCTTGGATCAAAGCGACACTGATATTATAGAGCGACAAAAAGTGCCAACAATGTGGAAAAATGTTGCTCAACAAAGTTCTTTTTTTGTGCACGACCAGATATCTTGCATGAGCCGTGATACACACAAAAATGTGATTACGTATCCACAATAACCGTTCGACAACCACCAGCCAATCAGACCTTAAGAGATTTCAATAATGGATGAAGTGATCAACACACTCAGCTACTTCCACCGCTGATTCTAAGCAAAAAGCTACATTTTAAAAAAGCAAAGATAATAGAATGAAATTATGAAAGGTGCATAGCTTTGACAAATAGTACTTGATGTAACCTATTCAGATCACAGTCTAGAGTATGCTTGAAACAAATCATGACCTATTGAATAACGATTAAGTATGCAGTCTCCCGTCCGCGAATTTCCTTATACTGTAGAGCCTGAAAAAAATTATTATGTAGGCACCATATCCATCTATAACCAGAATTTAAGATTAACTGGTTTCTCCGAGTTCAATGCTTCTGAGCTACTTCTAGGAGTTGGATTACTACTAAGGCCAGAAACCTAAAGAAAATCTTGGTCATGATGATTTGTTTGTGGTCACAAACAATACATTTTTCTACTACGAAGAAACGATCATGAAATAAGACCAGACGGGAAGTAGCCACATTATAAATCTGACTAGTACCTTGATATATTCTGAGATGGTATGAGTAGACTGTTCACCCAGCAGAGTACTAGTTATCAAGATTTATTTACAAATAATGGGGTACGTTTAGCGAAATCAAAATAGGAACGGATAGCTTAATACTCAAACAACGATATAATTCATTAAAACCTTTAACTTTACATTATATCAAGAAGTTTCCAAATTATCCCGATAAAATACAATGTTTGTAAACGTCAGTGCCATAATGCTACAGTAATTGCCCAGCAAACCCAACGACTCAAAACACTGCATCACTTTATGAACCCTTTCTATGTAAAGCAAAACAGAACTTTTGGTATGTCTATCAACGGTTTCGAGCATCAACTGCGTTAAACAGAAAGAGACAACAGGAATAACACCCTGTAGTAAAATATATGGTGTTCAACATAGACATGTCAAATCCATATAATTCGATACTTATTTTTTGAACACAGTATCTGACTAAGCATCAATGTTAAATGCATTAGCTCAGTCATACTAGTCCAACTGACACTCAGTTGTCTGATTAATTCGAATGTCTTTATTGTGAATCACCCTAATATCCTGTTTTATAGCCTATCTAATGCTTTGCTTTTCCCTACGTCTAAGAAGCTTCTTGATTTGTTTAGTTATTCAGTCTATGTGGTACTAGGTATGGTATAAACGAGGACGTACCTGAACTGAACTAACCTTTAAATACAGACGATGTTTCAACTGATGAGCTAGTATCCACTGACCAATCTGTTTTAACAGTGCACTCCTGAATGGCTGATATGTTAGCTCTCCATACATTTGGGAGAGGCTTGACCGGGTCGTATATCATGTCACAAGTTATAAGCATTAATGACAAAACAACGTGATCGATATTCACTAACGGTGGGAAAATATTTGGCAATATCCTCAGTTGGATGAGTAATTACCAAGTATAACAAATAATAACCTTGGTTTGAACCAAAACGTGTGGGTTCGGATACATGCTGTAATAATGCATGCTCCATTACCGTTATCAGGAACCTATCAAAGTTTATAAATACTACCGTGATCATCTCAGTCCAACTAATATCAGGTGCATCAAAGCCTCCGAATATCAAGCATGTTACTTGTACTCCATAGCCGAATGTGCTCTAAAATAGTCATCAAATAAGCAGATTTGGCTACCATATGACACCAAGTATAAATATACATCATCCGATAGCGAGTTCACAGCTAATAACTTCACAAGTTTTACTACCATAGGATTCGCAAGTAAATGAGCGTATAGTTATAGTATTGGCTATGTATAAAAGGACGTCAACCCCTTTCTTACATCTATACATAGCACTTCCTAGGTAGTGGTATCCGGATAACTCGAAGTATGACTAATACTCACAGTTGGAATTCAGGGTTAGGAACTGACATCAGCTATAATGTCAAGATTCTATTTAGCCAAATGAATTAGTTTCGCACCACAATTCAAGACCTATCAGCATCCGCTTCCAACACCTGACTCTATGCATGTGTAAATCACATTCTATGACTATGTTACCTATAAATATTTCAGGCTCAGTGACTTATTGATACTGGAAAGCTCGAATTCAGATTAAGCCAGTCGTGTGCAACCCTAGATCTAGTTCACTAAAAACCAATTACTGATGATTCTCAGACAATGCAAACACAAGGAAGTTCATTCGGTCCTACTATACTTGATAGTTTATTACTGCTTCACATGCTAGATATGTCTATACATATACATTCAAGAACAGTAGTATCCCATTAACTAGTTAATCCACTCGTTTTAGGAGTGTGGAGCAGAATAATTACAAATGGAGAAGAATAGAAAAAGATAAAATATGAACAGAAGACATACCAAGCATATGATGTGAACTAACATTATAGAATAAAAGCAATGATTTATGACTAGAAATAACCCATACCGGAGATTAGGACAATCTGAAAGTCGAAGGAAAAATCAAGAGGTGGTAGCGCATGACTTCGAACACGTTACTGACCTACAACACAAATGGTTCAAATGATTCAAATGGTTGTGGACGGAATAGAAGAAGCTTTCGCTTAACAGGCTTCCGTGTCTAGTAGCAGGGGATCACCAAATCCTCCAGGCAGGAACCTAGGTATGTTAACAGTAAAAGAGGAAAAGAAATTGGTAAATCATAATGTGATGCTATCCTTGGTCCATGAGAATAGGTGTTGGGATATTCAGGAAAATATCCCAGAAATTATCCTGTTAAGCCTAATGCTATCCTTGGACATGAAATGGTATCATCTTATTGGTTAATATTTATTTAACGTGTTATTTTCCTGTTGGCCAATATTGTACAATGTTATTTTCTATTTTGTGGTACGTTGTGGACTGCTTGACTGGTATATAAACAAAGCATGTTTGAAATATAATGATTCATATATCCGAGGCTGTGACTTGCGTTCTGGACTCAATTGGCTGGGCTATACAGGGAAGCGAGACCAATCAGAACCCTAGGTCGTTCTACGTGTTTGTGCGTCTTTGGTCCGATCAATAATTCGCTACCCTTAACCAGGAGCATTCATTTTTCACGTTATAACAATAGGTCAAGTTGCCTCTTGAAGGACTCCTGAGAAGTTGCTTGGACTAGCTCGGCCGGCAGCGAGTTCCAGCTTTTGACAACTCTTAAGGAGTAGAAGTTGTGTCTACATTCCGTCTTGCTATGTTGTGTTTCCAGTTTCTGGGTGTCACCCTTTAGGTTATTATTCGAACTAAGCTTAAGTAGGTGTTTAAGAGGATGTCCAGAAGTGTTAAGAATACTATAAGCCATTAATAAATCACCTCTAAGACGCCTATATTCTAGTGGGTAAAGGTCTAGTGAACGGAGGCGTTCTTCGTAAGGCTTAGAATTGAGTCCTCGAACTGATTTCGTGGCTCGCCGTTGGATACGCTCCAAAGTGACCTTGTCCTTTTGGAGTGAGGGGGGGAGTGTAACAGCTCAGGTTGGTTGGTTAAGAGTTGACCCCAAACAACCAAGCTTATGCCAAAACAGTATTGTTCAAGTATTCATTCACTTCCTTATTTTTCATAAGCGTTATATTCCCTATTATCTTGAATGTTGAGAGCCTTTGTTTGTCTGAACAGATAATCCCACGCTCCACTGTGACTGCGCGAAGATCGAAATAAAGACCTATTCACTACCTCTCTGGTTTCTTCTATCAATAGCACGAGGGTTACCTTAAGGCACGAAACTGGTGAGCCCTTTTTGAACACAAATTTAACCTCATTTCTGTTATTAACATTTTTTTTACTTAATCGTAAAAGTAGACCTGATTATCCGTAAACTAATTTGAGTATATAACTAGTTTATTCCGTATTATCTTAAGTTATTCGTGTTATAGTAACCACTTTTTGTGCTAACTTTATTGCTATATTTGTCACATACCTCATGTCAGACTCAATAGAAACCCATAATCTGGAGGATTTGTCACCAGTGGAGATAGACACTGTTATGACTACGAAATCCCGACTTCCAGAATTTGATCGTAGTGATCCTGAGTTGTGGTTTGCTCAACTAGAGCATTATTTCACGAGACAATATCAAATCTGAAGGGATTCGTTATAGACGACTTGTTAATTGCCAGCCCCGATTTGCAATCACACGAACAGCATGTACAAGCAGTGTTGAAAAGACTGGATGAACATGGAATAAACATACATCAAAGTGTGTTTTCGGTGTTCAAACTTTAGAATTTCTCGGTCACACAATAAGCCCAGAAGGGATTAAACCTATAAAAAAAGAAGTGCATACTATCAAACAATACCCCGTACCTAGTTCTCTAACACAACTGAGAAGTTTTCTAGGCCTAATTAACTTCTATCGCAGATTCATACCAGGTTGTGCACAATTAATGCAACCTTTGACAGATTCACTTAAAGGAAAACCAAAAGAATTCAAACTGTCTTCTGACGCCATCGAAGCTATTAAACAGCTTAAAGATAAACTGGCTGAAGCAACTACTTTGATATATCCGAATTCTCTTTCCCCACTTGCTTTGATGGTGGATGCTTCAGATAAAGCAGTAGGCGGTACCCTTAACCAACTGGTTAAAAACGCCTGGAAACCAATTGCATTTTTCTCGAAAAGACTCGCTCCAGCCGAAACAAGGTATTCTACCTTCGGGCGAGAACTTCTTGCAATCTACCTGACCATTAAACACTTCCGACACATGTTAGAAGGTAGGGAATTTATAGTCTTTACGGATCATAAACCACTGACGAATGCATTAAAAGCGAGAGCCGATAAATACTCACCTCGAGAAGTCCGACACCTTGACTATATATCACAGTTCACAAGCGATATCCGACATGTCAAAGGTCAGGACAATCAGGCGGCAGATGCTTTATCCAGACTAGAAATGAATGTGCTACAGCAGTCTACAGTAAACTTCGAGACGTTAAGACACGAACAAGAGCAGGACCTAGAATTGCAAAACCTACTTAAAACAAACAATTCAAGTCTTAATTTAAAACAATTCCCATCACCTATCGATGGTATTCTAATTTATTGTGACACGACCAAGGCAATGCCGCGACCTTTCGTTCCCAAAAATATGCGAAAGTTGATATATAATAACTTTCATTCTTTGTCTCATCCTGGCGCGAAAGCTTCAACAAAACTAATCAATGCCAGATATATATGGCCGAATTTACAGAAGGATGTACACAAATGGGTTAGAGAGTGTTCAGCATGTCAACAATCAAAGATTAATCGTCACACAAATTCACCCATAGGTGTTTTCTCGCAACCAGATGCACGTTTTGCCCTTGTGCATATCGACTTGGTAGGTCCTTTACCTCGTTCAAACGGTTTTAATTATCTTTTTACATGCATAGATCGATTTACCAGATTCCCTATAGCCATCCCGATAGCGGACATCACAGCGGAAACAGTAGCCAAAGTTTTCATGCAGAACTGGGTAACCATTTTTGGTACACCTATAACTATAACGACTGATAAAGGAGCGCAATTCGATTCCGAACTATTTAATAACTTGGCTAAACTTCTAGGCTCCAATAGGATACGCTGCACTGCATATCATCCTCAGGCTAATGGGATGGTAGAACGTTTTCACCATCAGCTAAAAACCGCCCTTATATCTCACTCAAACCCCAATCAGTGGACAGAATTCCTACCATTAGTTATGTTGGGAATACGAACATCTGTCAAAACTGACGCACAGTGTTCAGCTGCGGAACTGGTTTTTGGAACAACTCTGAGACTACCAGGTGAATTCATTAACCCCAATACTAACAGTCAAAAACTTAATTTAGGAAACTACGTAGATCAACTAAGGGACCATATGTCCAAACTTAAGCCAATTAATACTCGCGAACAATCGCGTGCCGTATATGTACCTAAAGGCCTAAGCAATTGCACGCACGTCTGGATAAGATGTGACAAAATAAAAGCACCACTTAGCCCTCCATTTGAAGGTCCTTTCAAAGTCGTCTCAAGAAAATCTAAATATTTCGTGATAGAAGAACATGGAAACATCAACACAGTAAGTATTGATAGGCTAAAGCCGGCTTATCTAGATCATGAACCACCATACGTGTTGTTAGATCGTTTAACTGACAAATCCATTACGGAATCGAAATGCAAAAACGATAAATCTTTACAAATGACTAAAACGGTTCGCTGGGCACATCCGATTAGCCAATCAAGGATGTTGACAGTTTCAGCTGCAGGATAAAATCTAACCACGTAGCTAATCAGATCCTTCATCTACTTAAAAATAACTTTTCTCCTCATTCCGCCTTACCTACAACTCCCCAGACCTTTTGCCTTTGATATATAAGTGTTATGTTAAATTTTTTTTAAATACTGGACACATAAGCTAGGTATTCCGAAACGATGGCTGAGGATTTTAATCAAACTCATACAACTAACACTAGCAAATACAACAAATTCAAAAAGCAACCCAGGCGAGTTTTATAATTTCTTTTTCTGGTTAATTAACTATGTTGGCTGTACTTCTTATATATCTATATACATTTTTCACGTAGACTGGCTATACATATATACCATATGAACTACTTCTAAAAGTTTTCGGTCGAAGATGTGTTTAGTAGCTTGATACGCTTAATACTACTATTAATAAGTGGTTTTCTAGACAAAACATTTTGGATTAAACTATGGTCAAATACTTAATAAAGTTCTCATCATTTTTTTTCATGTTTAGGAAACTTACATAATGACTTGACCAGTTTTCCTACAGCATGCTTTTTAGTGTGATCATATAAGCCATCATTATTGGCAATATTCAAATTTTTTTTAAATTTCTGACATTTAAGAATCAATAACCGTGAAGATATAGTACAGTGCGTTACTGTAAGGTTACTATGTTAGCCGCATTGATTCCACATACCTAATTTTAAACACAACTTATAAGGGAACTGTTAAGTAATCACAACATTGAACTAATATGAATATCACAGCTATGCTAACGTTAAACCAATTATTATTAGTGGTCCATACAAAATCCTGGAACTTAACACTAGCGTTATAAAAAAACATGTTATGTCAATAACTTATATATATATATACCTTTTTTTCTCTCGTTGGTTTAATTATAACGTAAAATGGAAATCTACCACACTTGTAGTTTTTTTTCTATAGCATTATTATTAATAAAAACAAAGAACTTGTACTATTCCAATATGGCACTTTGACATATCAATCCGTCCTCCTGTTATCTTTCTCTCATATCTGAGCAACATATGGCCAACAAACATCGTATTGAAGGGGGTTTTGGTGAACGAAAACGCTAGCCCCACACGCACTCGAACCTCTGCCCTCCTGGATGCTAGACCGTGTGCCTAGCCATTAGACCACATCAAACCACGGGCGAATGACTGCAATCTTCCCTTTTACCGATTAATCGTATATAATACTAACGAGTAATAGGACTTACACATTTCTAAGGTGAAGACAAATGCGTTACTTGGATGAATTGACGAAATATTGTTTCAATATAT